AAACGAAATAGACCAGATGATGGAAATGGTCGCGAGCAAATTGCTTTCAAAAATTCCAGCCGAGGCTTTCGACATCCTAAGCGGATTATCTGAAGATTATTACGATAAAATTGGAATCCCTCCCTCGAGCAAAGAAGAATTCCTTCGGTTGCCAACCACGTTTTTCCGTTGCCTCGGATGCGATGAGATAATTCAATTCCCTTCATTGATAGCGCACGATCACCCCGAATCCTCTCTCACTCCTTCTGAAATTCATGCCGCAGCTCAGGCTTTCAAGTTCGATATGAAGACAACTCTCTTCGTAATCAAGACGGTGATCCCCGCACTCAGTGGAGGTATGGAGATATTGCCTGATACCCGGATCTTGCTTCGTAGGATGTTATTCAGATGTGTCGTTTGCGGAGAAGGTTCTGGACGGCAAACGTGGCAACAGATTGTATGTTTTCCGCCCCTTTATACGACGTATACGACGTGTAATAAGTTGATGCTTGCATTTACAGGTGAAAGATTTGTATCAACATGTACTTAGCGGTGACCTAGATGATTCTAACGTCGGTCCCGCATATTCATTATCCCGGAGAGGACTGGCGACGAAGAGGGAGATGCGCATACTAACGTAGAGCAAGGCGAGGATGAACTTTGTGCTGGATACGAGAGTTTGAGTATTCTTGAAGTATTGGACTAGACAACTTGAAGGCCTGATGATTTTCTATGGACGTTAGGAGCTAAATTTCTTCTCTTCTATCATATCTCGAGCTGATTCGTGCTTAGAAAGCAAGATAATTGTAATATGACCATAAATCCATTCCTATAATTCGATCTTAACAGAATATGGTATATTGTTCATAAAGTGTCCAACCGGCATAAAATGAAATGACAATTCCTATTTAGACGTTTAGCCATCTTCTTGCCGCGAAAAATATGGAGGGAAGGCTTACCTTGACATCTGATCTCCACGGGTCCAATAATTTTCCAGTGTTAAGTCCTGCAATCACAAAGGCATTATGAGAGTTATACGTTGTTGTTCCTAACCATTGTAGTAAAGGTGATTTACGAACGCGTCAAAATACCCTGGGTACAGTGCCATTTCGGCTGGTGAAACGGTGGTGTCTTTTGAATTCAAGGTCAACAATCCCACAGTAGGTTCTTAGTTGAATCCTTTGGGGCATCTAATGTGGCCCATCGAAGCTCTCCGGGCACGGTGGGTGAATTTCCTGCTGTTGGTAATATGGGACTTAGCCCAACTTCACCTACTAAAATGTGAATTCTGACATGGACAGATGGTAATATTGGAATCACAGATCCCATGGCAAGCACCGGTACTCGTCCATCTTGGGAAAAAACAATGTTCTTTACTTGGTCGGCGGAGAAGTGAGTGGTCACTCTAATCCAGTCGTTATCGAGTTTACTAAGGATATTCGTCTGACCGCTATCAGTTAGTACGCTGAAAGAACAGATTTAACTGCATCCTTCACTAGCCCAAATGATGTTAGTGTGAAGGAATAGAGAGACAGTCATAGTGGAACTACCTCAAACTACTTAGTATGAGACGAGAAGCCACGACAGGGAATCGAAAATAGCACCCGAAAAAATGGCTCCCGGACAGGGATTTGAACCCTGGTCTCGCAGTCGCTAATCATAGCGTATCTCATGGCAGCGTGTAATTCCCACTATACTACCCAGGAGTCGTTAAGACTGTTCCGAAAGGCGTCATGGGGTGAATATCGGAGTAAATGTCGTAAGATAAAT